TCGCGCTCAAATGCATCTACTGACGTAAAGAAACAACAGTTTCAGCTATCAAATATGCAACATAATAAAGTCGCATAAGAGATTTCGACTAATCTAGCAGCCCCTGATCAAATAAATAGCCCGATTCAATTAGAGACATTTCGCTTTGATAACAGCTGGCAGATTCCGTAAAAACTGGGCCCCATTCGCGATTTCTTGCGTATGCATATCGTAATCTAGACGGTATCTACCCATATAACGCTTATCACAAAGGAAAGCTATAAGGAAACTTCACATCCAGCAGGCAAAGTTAAAGGACAAATTATGAAATTATACAATAAACAGAACGCTGGTTTCAGAGCAGAAAAGTATTCAAAAATCTTGGTACTGCTTAACTGACATGAGAGTCCAACGTATTTAAACAAGTAACCAGAACAGGCGAAAACGATCGTTGAGGGAACAGGATATCGCTATTAAATCTTTCGGCAGCAAAAGGTAAAGATGTTATAGACGAACTCTATCAACGAAACTTTGCAAAATGCGCACAAAAACCCCGGACCAGGGAACATTAGCAGCCTGCATTGTACCACGCACTGAAAACTTTTTTAATGAGTTAGAACGATGTCTTAAATATCTCTAAGCCATCCATGAAATATGACGAATAACACGTGGTAAGGTTAACGTCAAACACTGTGGTGTAATAAACAGATCGAAACATGAACAAGAGATTATGACGTGCAAAAAAACTTCACTCAAAATTATAAGCAGCAACTGACAGAACACGTATACAAACTCTCTTTGTAGATGTAAATCATCCATTTCTGCATGGATGCCACGAATCTTGATACTGCCTTCCAAAAAACCAACCTCAAAATCCCCGCTGAATCAAGCGGACAACGACAAAAGCAAAGATTTATATGCAAAGAGAAGCAGAACGATAAGTTCTTCGTGGCTGCTGCAGTAGCCATAAAAGTTTGTCTTGAACCGAACTCTACATATTCCGCAAACGAGGCAGAGGCAGCCGGTGTTAGCATAACTATGATTAAGCAAGGTCAGATGCCGCGGAGTAGTGACACACGCAGAAAACCTGATAAATAAACAGTCGTGAAACATGTGACGAGAGTGCCATGAGAGCGTCGTAATCTAAATAGTGGGAAGATCGGCTACAGAAAATATCGTCAGACCTCATGACGGAATAGCATGACTTCAAGGTTAACAGTCAGATTGACGACCGATATGGAATGTTCATTTCGTTCAATCAGAAGATGTATACTTTACATAAACAACAACAACAATACAATAACTCTTATTTGTTCAGAAACTTAGAAGACATAAATGATATATACCATACACTATAAAGGCATGCATTCCATTAAATGACAGGATACATCTATGGGGAAACCGCTGAAAGAAACGTCTGCGGATGACTAACCTGCTATCCTGTTTTTAACTGACTGTGTTCTAGTATAGAGAAACAAATTCTTCGCACAATTAGCAAAAGATAAGTGTTGAATCGTAATTTACTATCTGAGGATCAGTAAGTTATCTATATAAAGTTGTTTCCTATTTTGAACCAAATTATCAATTTCCCAATACTTGAAAATGAAACTGGTTAGTTTAATTCATATGCTAAACATGACGAA